CATTCTCAGGTTAATCAAAAGCTCCTATTAGAACTTAATAGTTTGACTAATACAAAAATGGAGAAAAGATTACTTAAGCACTTTAGCAGTTTGGGGGAGAGTAGGAATTAAAAAGGGGCCCAGGTAAGGAGAGAGCAGGAATTAAAAGAAGGGAACCTAGATGGTTATTTAAAAATAAAACAGGCTGGGAATCACAAGATTAGATCTACTTTATGTCAGTGATTACTTGAGACTATTTCGGTGTCAAGGTTCTACCTGCCGGTATCTTAAACTCCTCTGTGATTAGAAGGATGGAAATGACAGCTACTTTCATGTTCTCCCTTCCTGAAAGCTAAGGGCAGAGAAAAGTAGAGCTGCTTCTGAGAAACAAAGATGCTTTCTACCATTCTTCTAAGATGGTGGAAGAGTCTTCTTAAGAGGCTTCCCCAAGAAGGAAAAATGAAAGAGGGAAAGAAAAAAGCCACAGCAGAATTCCGTGGCCGTGTTTCGTGCCATTGCTCCGTCACATTCACTGTGCTACCACTCTGGTCCGGCCATCTCCCTCCCAGGAGGTTAAGCCCTCCCAGGGCATTGTTTGGCCGCGGTCCCTATTTACCACTCAGATCGCCTCCACCATCCCTTCTCTGGGATCTCGCGAAGCCCCAGGACAGAACGCCGAAAAGCTAAGAGAGGGCTTGGTTTCGAGGACCTCCTCCAAAAGCCCTCTCGCCAGCTGGTGTAGAAAAGGGAGAGAGAACCCCTGGCCTTTGCTTGGGTGGGTTCCTTAGGGGTCAGAGGCTTCTCCTCAGCCGGTGTCGAAGGGAGGTGGCCATTTGCGCCGGGCGCTCGGTATTGAAAAAGCCCTACCAGAGAGGGGCCTCCGCAGGCCCCGGACTCCGGGCCGGGTCCGAGTGTCAGGTGCGGCCCTCAGTTCCCAACCCTCGGGGCACCGGCGACGAAGCACACAGGCCTGGAGCTGAGACCGGTCTCCCGCCCGACCGCCGAGGACTTAGGGACCCGAGCTAGGGCCCCAGCCGCATCGTGCCCGCCCCCGCCCTACCTGTGGGGGCCCGGGCGGGGTCGCTAAGGGCCGCTCCCGGGAGCCCCGCGACGGCGCGGCTCGGAGACGGAGGCGCCTCGTCTCGCCGGGGCAGAGCTCGGCGGCGGTTTCACGACCTCAAACTCCATCGGGAGCTATAGGGACAGCCCCGTTGGCGGCGGCAGAGGCCGCGACGGGGCCTCCTCCTCCTCCCTCCGCCTCCGCCTCCTCCTCCTCCTCCTCTCCACGGAGGCGGTCCTGGAGGGATCCCGACCTAGCTCTCGCGAGAAGATACTGCCTCTTTCACGCGAGATCACGCAGGACTTGGCGTTAAGGAGGTGGAAGCAAAGAGTAGTAGCCCCGCCACCTGGACTGCGCATCAGCTTCCCTCTGGTCGAGTCTAACCACCCCTGTCACGTGACTAGGGAGCCCCGGAGCACTGTGGGAGGTGCTGTTAGGAGGCCTAGACAAGCCGAAAGGGTTGATGGGAAACTCCCTGCACCTTCATCAGCGCTTTGAGTTAGCCTCCTAGACGCTGATGTGAAAGAGTCTGACTCCCCTCGTGAAAAGGTAGTCTCCATTGAGCATGATCTGATATATCTGTATTATATTCTATGCACTCTCCGGTAATCAAATACTGACCCGTTCCCTCAATCCCTCCACATATTTGCCAAACAATCTCCCTATTAAAAAAAGAAAGCAAGAAAGCAAGAAAGAAAGAAAGAAAAGCATTTGCTTGGCAGGCACTAACAGATCTCTTTCTTAAAAAGAAAACTCTTCAGAAGCTGACAAGGATAAAAATTCGATTAATATCTCAATACTTGTTGAAGGATTTTTCACAGCAAACTGTAAAGCCTAAATTATATATTTTTTTAAGATGAAGAAGCAGAGAAATAAGGGAATTAGCATTTATAAAGTGCTTACCATGTGCTAGGTCCTGTGTTAGGTAATAAAAATTTCATTTTTACCATTGGTTTTGATTTTATTCACTCATTAAAATAATCCTAAAAGGAAGATACTACACATTCTGTTACTGAGAAACTGAAAAACACAGACTAAGAAAAATGGCCATGAGTTGTAATTAAACTCAAGGCACTTTCCTATGTGAAACCAGATGTCCAACAAAGGTAGGTATGAAAGTAAATCCACTATGAATTAAAAGACATATGAACAAGTAGTTTATAAACTGTAAAGATATATGTATATATTCATATATATTCAAATATACATATATATAGACACACATTATTCTACTGGATAGTGTATATGACAGTCTGCTAAGATTTTTCAAAGGTGGCCTGACCATCACAGTTAAAATTATAATCCCAATTTCCATTCCCTGGCACTCTCTACCCCTGCTTTATTTTCTCCAACTTCGTTTTCAAAATCTGATATACACCGATTTTACTTGTTTACTGTTTTTCTCCTTCCACTACAATACACCTTTCATGAGAGCAGGGATTTTTCTCTGCATACCTAACTTCTAATACTATATTGACTCAGTAAATATTCTTTGACTGAATGAATGACCAGAAGAAATAGTTTCCTTCTTTAAAATTCACAGATGTAGACATAACACAAAGTTCTCCATTCCCATCTCCAGTTTATTGGGTTTTTTTTTAATGTAAACATATAGAATAGTTACATCCAAGAAAAAAACAGCAAGAATTTTCTCTTATACCAAAGTAACAATTAACTTTCCAAGACTTTTTATACATAAATGCAGTAAATGAAGAGGCTGAACCCAAACATGTTGCATTTTCCCCCAACATATCAGAAACACAAACAAAAAGTGAATGTTTTAAATGAATAAATTCAACACTTTACTTTGCCATACCTGCATTTTTAAAAAGATTCCATTTTCCTGGAATTGTTTATATACATCATGCAAACAGACACTGTCCTAGGAATGTTCTGAGATCACTCTCTGCTATTGGACAGGAATAAATAAAAATAAATAACAACCATCACTTTCACAAAACAACCCTTCCCCCCAAGCAAATATCTCAAAGTGCTTACAAAAAATGTCACAAGAATCTTACAAGGCACACATAAAACTTAAACATATTTCAACCATAATTTTTTCCAAACATCAAGGATAGTAGGTACCAATTCCTAAAAAACCAGTTTATTACTATTCTTTTACCCTTCCCTCCCATCTCTAGCTCTCCCCCAGAAAATTTCATCCTAGGAAGCAAAAATAAGAAAAGTACTTCAAGCACAAACTATTTCTGAAAGGGAAATGTTTTCATAACTACAATCATGGCCAATTATAGATTAAATAGCAAAGAAATTTAAATGCTGCACTATCATGTTCTCCATTGAAGAAAAACACTATTTACTTTAGAAAAATTCTGTCTCCAAAGTAGTACTCAAATAGCAATATTCATAAAGACACAAAACTCTCCTCTCTTGCTTTCCCCTCTTCTGTGTTCTTAGAAACTCAGGAAGATTTAAATATAAAATCATAGATTTTTGGACCTGGAAATGATCTTTCAAGTTACCAAGTCCAAAGTTACTGTTTTACATATTTAAGAAAAACTGGTAGAGAGGTGACCTGTCCAATGTCACTAACAAGTGACATGGCTGGGGGAGGGGGTTATGAAGTTGGTTTTCTTATCAAAGATGAGAGCTGGATTCTTTGAAGTGTCTCCGAGAGTTAAAATTCTACAGAGAATATATTTTTCACAAAAGTATCACAAAAAGGATATTTAACATTTATAACTATCAACATGTGATCAGTCACAAAATTCTTATAAATGGTACAAAGTATATTACATTTTAAAATGTGGAAGGGCTTCAGAACCTAAGTATAGCAGAAATTCTACATAAAGCTGAGGTGAGTAGAGAACTAGAACATCTTGAAAGTAAGATGCATCCAGTCAGCCTCCCTTAACTACTTTGTTCCTGCATTTTAGAGAGTATGATTTGCCAGGCAATAGATTTTAATCTTTGCTTTGACAACAAAAAGTTTTGTGTTATTTGTACACAGGGATAGTAGAGAGCAATGGCTCATAACACAATCAGAATATTACGCTCACAAAAATAACCATACGGTCATGGTTTTGCTTTTGGCACATTTCTGGAAATACAGAATAAAACTCTAGGGATGGTTAGGATTTTTACCAACATGTGGTAAATGAAAATTGCATTAATATAAATGAAAAAAGTTAACAATTAAGAGAACACCAATAGCTAACCATATTTATTTAAACTGTTCATCTAGTGACAGCAAGATAATATATATTGCCAATTCAAAGTAAAAAAGGGAATCAACTGTTGATACACAACATAAATGAATCCAATGGCATTCTGTGTGGTGAAAAAAATCATCTCACAAGGGTACATACTACAAGATCCCCTCATATCATTCCAGAAAAGGAAAATGATAGCAATAGCAACTGTTAACAGGATTTAAAGATAGGTGGGGGAGTTGATTACAAAGGGGCATCATAATGGAGTTTTTAGGGATGATGGAATGTTCTGTATCCTGATTGCAGTGGTGGTTGAACAAAATCTACATGTGTTAAAATTCATGAAAATGTAGACCAAAAACAAATGTCAGTGTTAGTTTATGTTAGCTAAAAAATTTAAAAATAAAATGAATTTAAGAGAGGAAACAGTAGAGTATCTTTGGTAAAGTTGCAATTTCTAAAAGAAAATTTTCAGAGGGGCGCCTGGGTGGCTCAGTGCGTTAGGCCTCTGCCTTCTGCTCGGTTCATGATCTCAGGGTCCTGGAATCGAGTCCCGCATCAGGCTCTCTGCTCAGCGGGGAGCCTGCATCCCCCCTCTCTCTGCCTACTTGTGATTTCTCTCTCTGTCAAATAAATAAATAAAATCTTTAAAAAGAGAGGAAGAAAATTTTCAGAGCTTCCTGCCAATGGTATAATTTTATTGGTCATAAAATTATTAAATATAACTGCATGAAATAAAATCAAGAAACTTGGGCTTGATTAATCATTTCTAAAATATGTATACTAACAAATCATGGAAACATTATTTTAAGGAATTTTAGACCATGTCCAAGGAAATTCTACTACTCCCAAGTGAATCTGAAGTGTGTTCCCTTACAGTTTAAAACAAGTACCTTGGTGCTTTGCTTCAGAATCCAACCAGTTTGTTTAAAAGTTTTTTTTCACTAGTCCTACAAAGAATTAATAATGGATTACAGCATGTTTTGAAGTCTATTTTCTCTTCCTATTAACCTAATTGATTAAAATTATTATGTGGTTGGGATTTTACATGTACATCATTTATCTAGAGAGTCAAAATCAGAATTTAGAAATACTGCTGGATTCTCTGTCACAAGAATCAGGAATATTTAAGAGCGAAACATTATTTCTCTAGATATACCACTGGGACTTACATATACTGTACGAGATAAGACAGCATCCCATTAGCTTTATTGTGTCTCCCACACGTTGGAACTGCTAGTAGAAGTTCAGAAAGAGTAACATGTGTAGGCAGACCAAAATTAAGACCCAAAGATTGGGGGGACACAGGGGATGCAATATAACATATGCTGCATTTCTGGAGAAAAACTCGCCTAACTATGATATAAGGCTTATATAGCAAGGTGTGGTTCTAATTACAGCAGATTTTGCCTTTTGAGATCATGCCTGGGTAGTTTTTCACTACTGCTTCTGCCATGCACAGAGGTTAAGTGCTTTTTGAGGGCAGATTTGTGCTTGAAATCCATGTCACAACAGTGACATTTGTATGGGCGATCTCCACTGTGTATATTCAAGTGGTCCTGAAGTGTGCTTTTAGCAGTAAATGTCTTCAAGCACACAGTACACTGAAAGGGCCGTATGCCCATGTGTCCTCGAATATGCCGGTTGAGATTTTTCTTCTGCGTAAATGTTTTCCCGCACTGTAGGCACAAGAAGAGCTTGTGCATCTTCAGGTGGCGCAGATAGTTTTCAACGTGAAGAAATCCTCGAGGACACCTGGGGCACTGGTGCCTCAGTGAATAAGCATCCTCCAGATTCTGAATCTCACTCACTGTACCATGATTTCCTTCAGTATTCTCACAAAATAAGCTCTGATCTTGATTCCCAGGAACTGCCACTCTGCTCTCAACCGTAGAATTGATCAGTGAATGCTGTGTTTCAGAGAAATACAAGCTTGCTTTTGAAGAGGTACAAGGCTGTGAAAACTGCCCATTTTCTACACCGGCAGTACTAATAGATTCCACGTGGAGGATACAAATTTCATTATCTTTAAAACCAATGTCTACTGAAGATAGCTCTGGTGACTTCACTTCCTTTCTCTCTGATGTCAACTCTACTGTAGACTGCAAAACATTGCTTTCCTCTTCTTTTACGTGAAAATCTATGTTTATAGGACTATCTTCTGAAATTTCTATAATCTCACAGTCTTTATCTGAGTTTTCTTCTTCATTCTTAACATCCAGATCAGAGGATTGACACAGGTCAGTATGTTGATTATTTTTCATAGAAAGATCAATTTCCAGATACTTTGACAAAGCTTCTGTGCACTTTTCCACAATGTGAACCATCTGCAGGTAACTAGCAGCAGTCAAATATTTCAAAAGCTCTTTCCTTTTAACTTCAAGTGCTCCAGTATAGCATGAGAGCAACAGTTTTCTGCCAACTTCTGCACTCTGCAGGATGGTGATTCTGACATGTTTTGACTGCGTGAGTAAAAACTGATCTCTCATGAAAGTGGAGCAAGCAGCTAAAATCACCTTGTGGCCCTGGAACTCGGTGTCATTGATATAAATGGACACATCACAAAATAAATTCTGCTGTCTCAAGAGATTCATTTTCTGCAAGACTACATCTCCTTGCTGTTCAAACTGGAAGTGCAGAACATCAGATTCAGCAGCCATGGTCACAATCTATGCAAAAGAAAACACAAATGTAGATGTAAAGATAGGGAATGCTTCCCTACACTGTGATGGTAAAAAAGAAGAAAAAAAATCCCACACCTGAATTGGGTAAAAGAAGTTCAAATTCTAATCTAGGTGCAAAGAGTGAACTCCTATGCCACCATTGCAAAACCGAGAAAATGAAAACACATTTCTTTATGATCTCATGGTCTGTTCTTTTTTTTTTTTTTTTTAAAGATTATTTATTTATTTATTTGACAGAGAGAGATCACAAGTAGACAGAGAGGCAGGCAGAGAGAGAGAGAGAGAGAGAGAGGGAAGCAGGCTCCCTGCTGAGCAGAGAGCCCGATGCGGGACTCGATCCCAGGACCCTGAGATCATGACCTGAGCCGAAGGCAGCGGCTTAACCCACTGAGCCACCCAGGCGCCCCTCATGGTCTGTTCTTAGTAATTTTGTTACAGCACCTATTACACTGAGTTGTACTTAATGGTTTCTGTTTTTCTCCTTGGCTAAATTTTAGCCATTTTGTGGTCCAAGACGCTGCTAATGTCCACTAGTAAGGGGACTTAACGTAGTTTCTCACATTAGAAACCCGAATGTAATGTCCAAATTTCCTATTCTGCATCACTACTGCAGGTCCTCCTTCGGTTCCCTTCGACCTTTGCAAGGTCTTCCAACAGGTCTCCTTTATACCACCCTCTCCCATATTCCAACCTACCCTTCTGAGTGCCACCAGAACCAATACCTCTTAAAAATTTTTAAAAAATTTTCTCTTTTCTACTTTATTTTTTAAAGTCTTTTTATTTATTTCAAAGAGGGAGAGGGAGAGAGAGAGAGCGCTAGCAAGAGTGAACACGAATTGGGGGAGGGGGTAGAGGAAGAGGGAGAAGCAGACCTCTTGCTGAGCAAGGAGCCCAATGTGGGACTCCATCCCAGGCCCTGATATCATGACTTGAGCTAAAGGCAGACGCTTAAGCAACTGAGTCACCCAGGCGTCCCTCTCTTCTACTTTAAATCCTCCATTGCTCTCCTCTACCTCCAGGACAGCCTACCCTTCTTAGCAAATACAAGATCCTTCATTATTTGGTCCTAGCCATCTTTAAGGTTTTATCTTTCCTCAATATATTCTCTTTTTCATCAAAGCTCCTTCGATATTGAGATTTTCACCACTGCACAGACAAGAAGACCAAACACACGTTTGCAAGTTTCCATTAAAATCCTCTTTCAGCCAGTAATTTGGCTCCTTTAAGACCCAAATCAGTTAGGACTTCTGTGACTTCTCCTATCTCCCCAACAGACAGTGAGTTGCTCCCAGAGCACCACGAAAAGGTGCCTGCTTCATCTGAGTTTCTGCCGGGAGCACAGGGGCCGGCACAGAGCACGCAGAGCGGAGGGGAACATCTGTTGAACTGATCGGGACCCAAGGTGGCCTGGAAGATCCTGCAGCTCGCCACACACAGGTCTTCCCGAGCTAAGCCTCCCAGGACCACAGGCCCTGTCTGCCAGGTGGTTGCAGCACCAGCGCAGCCTCCCTGCCCGCGCCTGGCTGCCTTCTTCCTCCTCCTCTTCCGGCTTCCCACCCTGCCGGTCTCCAACGCGCTCACTCACCGACTCAGAGAGCCAGAGCTCAGCTTTCCGCAGCAGCGGCGGCCCAGGCCGGAAGGTGGACTTCGCTTGGGAGGAAACACATCCGGTGTCAACTAGCTTTACTCCTCTCTGGGGTGGGCTGGGCGTCCCGGAAGGACATCCACATTCTCCCTTCTTCATCCCCTCCCCCACCACCGCCCCGCTCCTAGAATGGCAGAGAGGCACCCGTGTTCCGGCAAATCCCATCTCTCCTGCCCCAGTTTCGGCGAGCGGGCCTTTCCCTTCGTGAGTTCTCTCCAGTGTCCGTATCCAGACGGGTTGTGAGGCTGAAGTACAGCGCGTCTATCGGAACACCCTGAATGGGATCACTGGGAGGCCCTCATGGTTGTCACGGGCCGGGTTCTCTCCTCTCTGGGCCATCTACAACTTAAAATATGACAGAGGAAAGGAGACCGCCATAGAAATCGGCATTCGAGATTGCCTAATGACCATCAGGATCTGGCCCCCTACCTCTGGATCTTCACTCATCCATCGCGATGTCACCGTCCCCCGACCCCCTCCCCACACGCCAGTTCTAGGCAAACCCAGACCTTCTATCTGCTCTTTGGGACTGTCTCTTCCCACGTGCCCTATCTCTCCCCCCACTTATCCTTCAGAATCTCGTTCATAAATCCGTCGTCCATGAAGCCATTCTGAATTGCCCTTGAATTAGTGGGCTCCCAGTGGGAGCCTGTGAGCCCTTTGGCTGCCTTCATTATTGTCATCATACCTGTACTGGAATCTGTGACCCATCTGGGCGGAGGTATTTCGGACAGTGATTTACGACCCGAAGTCTAGCATGGAGTAGACATTAAGTATTTCTTAAATGAAGGAATGTCTGAACTAGTTCTTAAAAGGAGTAGCTCTACCCCCTCAGTTAACAGGTTCTCCTGGAAGTAAGACCCTACTAACAATTTCTAGTTAACCAGATTTGCTTCAGAAGCCATGCTCAGAGCGCTTGATTAATATGTGTTTAAACAGTAGGAGTGAAGAAAGCATTCCTTATTCAAATTTAGGCGACTGAAAAGGAAAGCAGGAGGGATAGAGAAAAGAAACCACTGACACCAGAGATTTAATTGTCACACTTTTATTAAGGAAACTTCCCCATAATAAGTGAAGAGGTAGTTCATAGTATGTCTAACATACAACAGATTTAGAACAGCTATTCACCAGCTGAAATAAAATATTCTGGTTTGTTTGTTTAGGACAATATTTTAGAAGTGGTGACATTGGTCACCCTCCATTTATAGATCTTCTAATAAAGAAACTAAAACAAAACCACATCTGATTTACCTCAGAGCCACTTCAGTTTGGAGTTTGTCTTTAAAATTAAATAATAAATAAATAACGGTGACACACGGTAATTTTTTAAAAACCAGACTATGGTAAAGAGAGTTCTTTTTAGTTAGCCTAGGGATCCATAAAATACAAATGCAGAATGACTTAAGGTTTTAAAAAAATCTTCCTCCTCTATAAGAATATGTCTAGTTTTGAAAATCATCTTCCTTTATAAAATGTATTTGATATCAGTTAACTTGACCACTTTGCAATACAATCTAAGAAACATGTATAAACAAAGGAGAAAAGTCAAGTCCCACCAAAATTAAGAAAATGTCTCACAGAAACAGAACACCTCTCCAGCCAAGAAATGGAGGAGACTGTAAATCACTTTAGTGGTTTGCAGTTGCAAAAGGTGGGAACTAGAAGTTTTACTGATAAAAAACGATTAAGATGCTGATTTTAAGTAATCAAAGGAAGCAAGGCATTTTCTTTATTATTCCTAGTTTAAATCACTTTATCTAAGACCACACGAGACCGTTTGAGACCATAAGCTCTGTGATGGCAGGGACCGTTAGCAATCTTACCTTCATATCCTCAGTATCTAGCATAGTGCCTGGCAACAAATGTGCCCAATAAATGTTTCTCAACTACTGAATGAACCCAGAAATAGTCTCCAACCAAAGAGACCAATCTTACTTGAACCCATGCCTTTTAGTCTTCAAACCAATAACAAAAACGGGATATGAATGTAAGCAAAGAAAGCACTCCAACTTGAAATTTCCCTATGGTGAAATGATGTTCAGAAAACCATCGGCTAACATATTAATGTCTCATCGTTGCATAGACTTGGTACTCTTTGGCTGGATCATATAAAAATCAGAATGCTAGGTAGCATCATTAGACCATAAAAATGAGTGACCTTAGGCATAAGATACCTATTGGTCCTATCACTCAGTTTTATTCTCATTTTAAGTGTTTTAACAAAAGGTTGAAATTATAACTCAAATCAGATTCACATGTAAATGCATTAAATTATAACAACTTTAAGAATTCCCTGTGACTATTCAAGTTAAACTTCAGTTTTGGTTTATCTGTACATGCATTCTCATAGCTCAAAAATAAAAACAGAAAATCCTGATGGGAACTAAATAAACACTGCTTCCAGACAAAAATCAGTTTCACATTTTGATCCTTCTCACATTATTCTTACTAATCCTTTCCCTCCCTGACCACCACCTACCAAGTCAGTCAATTTCTTGAGAAGAATGTAATATTCACTCTAACCCCCCACAAAAAAACACAAAAACACATCCTTCCTATGATGTTTTGTTTGCAAATTCCGGGCTGTCTCAAAAAGCCAACAGGGATTCCCAAAAGTGAAGCACAAACTGGGAGCTTTTTGCTAATATACTCTTGATCATGTACTGTATCTTTTTAAGCCAAGAGCTAGTGAGAAATAAGAAGACATTAGCTCATTCTTAGTCACTTCTCTACTTTGGCCAACCTTGGCCAGGCCACCTCTTTGAGCTTTGGATACCCCAACTTAAAAAAAAAGAGGTGGAGTATATGATTTCTTAAGATTCTCTAAGTACTCTAAGACTCCTATTACCTAAATCTAACTGATGAGTCAAAAGCTACTAAGTCTCAAAATTTTATTTCTGAACTGTAACATGTGCTTTAGGAAAAACACAGTTGTGTTTTTGGGGGAAAAAATTGTGTTTTTCCATACTGGAAGATCAATTTTGTATTAGTGATCTATCAAACATGGCAAGGTGGGACTGTGTACCTTTATAGGAATATCTGAATGCAAAAACCTGATTGCTCCTCTGTGATCCACTTTTTTCATCCATTTTAGAAACTAGTGTACAGGAAGAAATGAGAATTCAGAGATTACACCAGACAAAACTGTGAAGGCCAAACTCACCTTTCTGATGGCTAGCCCTCTAAAACAAAGTCCTGAGACGGACCCCCAAATAGCCCCTTTTTAGAGAGACCATTATACTTGAGCACATTTTAAGTGTGCCTGGAGCAATCCTGACTTCAAAAGCATCCACTAGTAAATTACATGTTAATTATAAGCATTTGGCTTCTTTCTGGGAAGACCACTTATGTAAGTGCTATTATACAATTGTACTTCTATCCTTTGTTAATTATGCTCCTCATGCTGATCCCTAAATGTCTGTAGGTGTTGCTGAAAAAACTCTACTCTGGTCTATGTGAACCACTCAGTGACATGAAGTTGGGCCATAATACTGTTGAAAAGTACAGAACAACCCAAAATACTTCATAGGCAGCTGCAAGACAAGTACAAATGGTAGGAGGCAGATTATCAGTAGGCAATTAACAGTAGGCAACCAGAAGTTCTATCACATATTCAGGCCAAGAGCAGTATCACCTTGTATCTTAGCCTATTTTTTTTGCCAAAGAAAAATACTACTCACTTCTCTTAGCATAGCATCTATTAGTGGACTGTAGGTGATGTTATTAACTTATTGGTACCTTCAGAATGTGCCCAGTGAAAAGCCTAAAATAGTGTCAGTCTAAGACAAAAGTCAATGTTAGGTAGACAAATGGAATACTCCTTGGGAAAGGAAAACAGACAACACGGGATAAATAATTCAAAACACAAAATGGAAGAGGGCAAAAGGAAGGCAAGACCACTCCAAGTGGTAAGTTGCCTGGTCTGTTAGTGCTTTGACTCACCCCTACAACCCGCACAGAGGATTTGGAGAAGTCAGACTATCAAAATCACTCCTAAAAAGACTCGAGACTATTGCCACATTTTCAGTCCATTCTAAGTTGTGAGCATAAAGCCCTTAATCAATTCACACAAGCACTATCATTTCTTAAGTTCAAGACAGCTTGGGCCAGTTTACCTGCATCCAGGACCTGTGTTGCATCAGGCTGTGGCTGACACCCTTTAGAGTCTGTGACTGTTGTACATGCAAAAGAATCAAAATCCACTGTGAGGTCTTGCACATTTCTTTCATTGGCATTATCAAAGCTGTTTTTGCCATGCAGCTGTTTAAGATGTTTCCTCAAAACTGGCTTATGTGCAAAAACCATGTCACAATAGTTACACTTATGGGGCTTATCTCCACTGTGAAGGTTAAGATGATCCTGTAAGGAACACTTCTGAGAAAAGGTTTTCCCACAGATCTTACACTGGAAAGGTTTAATGCCGGCATGCACACGCATGTGTCGATGAAGGTTGCCTTTCTGAGTAAAAGTCTTGCCGCAGAGTAGACACATAAAGAGTTTGTGCATTTTTAAATGGTTGGCGTAGTTCTCCAGGTGACGAAACACCCTGGTACACTTTGGACACTGGTGATGCCACTGTAGGCCTTTGTCTACACCTCGAATATTAGGCCCAAAGACATCTTTTGAGGCCATGATGATATTATCACTGCCTGCGTAAGAGAGGGCATAATTGTGGAGATGGTTTTGTTCTATTTCACTTACTCTGTTTTCCACAGTTGAATTTATCAGGGAATGCTGGGGCTCTGATGAATGTAAAGCAGTGGGTTCAGAAGAAATAAACTGGTTCTGATCTTTTTTACTTCTAACCTCGGATACATCCCCAATAGATTCTACCTTAACAATCTGAATATCACTGTCCTCCATATCCATACTGTCTTCAGATGGATGAACACAAGGTGAATCCTGCTTTGGGGAGCCTCTGGCATCTCCCTGCTGTTCTTTTGACTGGGGAGAAGCACTCTGCGGTTCACATCCCTCTTTACTATCCATTGGTTGTTTT